ATAATAGTTTGTGTGCTCGTTAGATAGGGGATGAAATGCCCTTTAAAACGAGAGTTTGTACGAGTCGATAGCTCTATTGGTTCCGGAGATATAGCGATTTTAGTGTCAAGTCGACGCGGTGGCTAGTTTCGGAGATATAAGGGTTCGAAGCGTTTGTTTACTTTTTTGCTACGGCCTTGTCAAGGTCGTTGACCGGCACGTGACGCGTGGGAACTAGGTCACTCGGCCACTCGCTCGCGAGTCACGTGCAAGAAAGAGAGTTCCGGCGCGACGCGTCAGACAAAGACAGCAATAGTCGAATTAAGAAAAATTACCATTTACATAAATTGCGATATCTCGAAAACGGAAAGTCCGATCGACAAAAACCAAAAGCCATTTCAAAGAGGAAGGTTTACCGCTTCCAACGATGCCTCGTTTATAAATAAAACACTAGTAGTTTCGGAACTGCACGCGTCCAAAGTTTCAGTGTTTTTAACACGCTGTTGCACGTAAGACGGGCAGCGACATAGTGGAATTTTAAAAATTACGCTCTTCTTTACACGATGATATCTCGAAAACGGAAAGTCGGATCGCCAAAAACCCAAAGCCATTTCAAAGAGGAAGGTTTACCGCTTCTAACAGTGGCTCAATAATCAATAAAACACTAGTAGTTTCGGAACTGCACGCGTCTAAAGTTTCAATGCTTTTAATACAGGTTAATAGACTTTTGTAAGACGGGAAGTGGAATTTAAAAAATTACTTTTAATTATTATAGGAGGAAAGAAATGGCAGCTTTAGCGCTAATTTCATTGTTATAATTCGCAAACTGTACAAAGTAGAAAAGGAAGTTTTTATTTTGTATTCACATTGTATTAACGAAGTAAAAATATACGATTTACCCGTGGAAATATAATTATTTATGAAAATCACACAACGGTACCGGAAACATGTACTATTTAATTTACATATTTACAATGCATGCATACCGTAGTTGATATGATTTCTGAATCTGAATTATAAATACAATGCAAACGTTACGTTACATTTTGTATTATATTTACTTGCATTGTACATGTAAATAACATCTAGAACGCTTGGTTCCAGGCGATAGAATATTTTTAACGCGATTGGTATACGTTATAGATTTAAAAAAATAATAAATCTTTTAATGTTTAGCGTTTATCGAAACTGCGAAGAGGAAGCTAGGCGCTACGTTTATCGTGAATTGGTGTGTTTGCACGTGAACGAGTGTAATTACAAGTGTACCGTGTTGGTCATGGCCGGTTGAAATTCATTTGGCACCTGGTAATAGAAAACCGGGACACAAGTTCAGAACTCGGACCTTATCGAGAGTAGACCGGTTGACCGGATGCGAGAACGGTTTCGTGGCTAGCCATCCGGTTCCGTGAGGTTAGGGTCAACCTGCTGGTCACCTCCCAGAGGCCTTGTACTCGGAAATAGAGTATAGTATATACAGAGCATGCTGTAACTCTTACGGGAATTGCTGGATCGGTATTGATAACGCCTTACAGCCAACTTACATTTCAACAATAGATTTCTCGCTAGTTTACTCTTACGTCTCTTTCAATGTTTCCTCCTTTCTGCTATCAATAGTAATTAACACTTTGAAATTTTCTAAATTTAATTATCATTCGATAAACGTGTACATACATATCAATTTCATTAATTCGCTCAGCTTATCGGTAAGCTCTAATAAATTATCGTAATTCACGATGCAAAAGACTTTGCGAGGCGAGTAAATTAGTGTCTTCCAACGATAAACGGTTAATATATTGCTCCAGAGATGAGTGACAGGCAGTATATCATTTTTGTGTTTTAATATCATTTTCGAACGGTTGCAGATCTTTTGATAGCCAGGCTAATGAGACTAAAGTCTTTCCGCCTGTTATGTCGATGTACATAAGATAGAAGCCTGTCACGCGTACAAACGAACTAACTTTATGCTCGTTGAATCAACAAATACCTTTACGGTTTCACTTATTGTCATAATGTTGTCGAACGGTACGAGTAATTCAAATAGCGTTCGATTGGATCGCATGGCGGGCTTCGATTTGATTCGATGATATACATATGTTCATTTCTGAGAATGTTTGGGCAGGTCTAACAAATTGATTGACACAGACTGCGGGGTTAAATGTTTACACTGGATTTCTATATCTAGGTATATGTAGAACTAGAGCCGAGTCGAGTGGGTACAAATATTTACCGTGTGACGTATCAAAGACTTTATCATTGATTGTACACAGAATTTACTTATCTAAAGTCAGTTTGCAAATTACTTTTTAAGCCAAAATAAAGTAACCGTAACAATTGATCGTTGGAAGGCATGTCGTATCTGCTTCTATAAAAATCAGTTCCTAAATAGCAGCGTTTCAAGGAATACGCCAAGAAATACTGGATAGCTCATATACCAAACTGGCCATAAAAGTCTAAATTCCGTGGTACGTAAAGTTTAAACGTGGAAATTATTCAGGTCACTGCGAATATATTTAGTTAACGACCGCTCTGTTGACTACCTCAAGGCACTAACTACTTAACTTAAGACATTAACTCTTTATATACTGAAAGGGAATTACTCGATACTGTGTAGGAAGGAAAGTGCCCTTCCGGGCTCCAATATTCAAACTTTTATTCAAACGAGCAATCGGACTTTTGTACATCGAAGTTTTATTAATTCCGTCGAGCAATCCCGTTTGCAAATTTATAGCGTTATAAAAATGTTTATTCTAGCATTGATTAGGCGTGAAAAATTGAATAGAAATCCGATCGAAAAATGTGACAGCTTTCTTTTTATCGATAGCTCTCCAACGTTTGTTTCTTATCGTGCTTTCATCGACATTTGTTACTGTATTCCTGACTCGAGTCGAGTCTATTGATAAAGGATACGTTGGAATAAAATGCTGATAGCATCTCCCAATGGACGCAACGTTTACAATAGTCTGGATGGAATCAGTTGGCCGTTCAAGGCAATTGATCGAAAGGGTTATCCTCGCTATACAGTTAGGTTGCTCTACCTCATCGTTGTATTTGAAAAAGCAGTCATATAAATTTACATTCAACCAGAATTATGAACATTTCTATTTCTCGTTGATCAAATCATTCAAATCTTGGCGTTTTTGAAAGTTTGTCTGATTTCCAATCAAGAAGGATCTCTTAAATATCGGAACGCGTTGAATTTCGTGTACCTATTTACAATTATAGAGTAGAAGGCAAGTTAAACAGGCGTTTGCCGTACGTAGGGGTTTTAATTCCGTCTACTGACTGAGCGGAACTAAGTTAATTCCGTGTCCATTTGCGTCGTGAAAGAATTCCGCGCGCGTATCGGCGCGGTGGCGTGGCGTCGCGTCGTCGCGTGAGGAATTCCGTATTAAAAGTTTACCTGGTCGTTACGAGGAGCCGCTTGCGGGAAAGAGGAGGAATTCCGTTATGCGACCGAGCCACCAGAAATTCCGCAGTTACGTACGATATCCAGGGTACCGATGCCGCCTCGTTGTCGCCGTAATATAAACTGGACCTTCGTACGATCAACCGAGGAAACCGTGGACCCTTTGTCATCGTACTCCGCCGAGAACCAGGGATGGATCTTGTTCGCCGTTCTACTCGATTTTATTAACCATACTCCGCGGACACGTTTGCAAAACTCCGTCTCTCTCTCTGTTCCCTGTTTGGACATGGCAAGTCGCCGCGTTTAATTGGGAAGATTCCTTTTATTCCCTCGTTTGCAGACCAGTTGCGTTACAGAGGCACCGCTAACTGGCGTTTTCTCGTTTGATCCTATTTACTCCGTTAATCCTAGCACGTTAAGCTATCGTTAAAAGTACGACTAGGATTTGCGGCCGTGGGAAATTGTCGCGCGTGATCGGGGTGACGGGAATAATAATGGTTTTTAGCTATTACGAAAGAACAAACGGTCCGATCCAGATGATACTTAAATATGCGATATGTTGTGTAAAGTTTCCTTATATTTCGTTTAGTGGAACAGCTTCGGATGCACGGAATTTAAATTGCACAAGGAGAGTAACGCTTTATCGTCGGACACGAGCTCTTAATCGACTCGTGACTCAGCGGCGGTCGATCGCTGATAAAAAAAGCATCGAGTCCGCGAGTCGTATCGAGCAGATACGATTATTGAAATTACGGTGAATGGGGGGAGGACGACGTTCATCCAAATTTATCGCGGATTCGCGTCTACGGCGGATTACGAATGCACATTTTACAGGAATTCGAGCGTTCCCAGGCCCGTCCTGTGAAATATTTTCGCGAGGTCCGGTCGGATGAATAGGGACACGCGGGTGGAAACAACCGAATGAAATACGCCAGCGAGTTACGAAAATTGTTGCGATAATTTTTGCTCATCGAGGGGCCGACGATAAAGCGTCGGAAAATTACCATCCGGCCCTCGCGCGCGTCAGTTTCGCGGGCCAACGATGTCACGTCGACCATGTAATTGCAAATTACACCGCATTTGCCTTTGCGATTTTTTTTTTCACGCGGAAACGCGCTGAGCTGATGTTTACGCGGACTCGGCGTCTGATTTTGATCCTCCGTGCTCCCTAATGACTCGTTACAGACCTTGTTGACGAGAACAGAGATTTCCTTTGGGTAGTTATCTTCCCGTTTGTTGCTTCTGCAGTCGTAATCGAATCCATCGTTGCATATTTTGTTTACGATGCATATTTAAAATTGATCCAACTAATCTAGAATTCTAGAAATCCAATATAAATGGATCATCGTATAGTTTATCACCTATTGCGACACGGACGAGCTACCGTTTCCGGTGTTATCTTAATAACCTGAGCCATTTTCTGACCGTACGTGGAAAACAGGTTCCGTGACACGGCGACGATTCAGCCCTTAATGTCACCGCATTAGCGGCATTAGCAGTTTACAGATAAACGGATGAATATAGTGATCGCGGGGTCATGTTGTTTACCTATAAATTACGTGTCCGCGACTTTACAAGAAAACCATTCCCCTCGTTGACCTGAACCATAGTCAAAATGTACGCGTTAACGTTGCTGGTGATACTTGCTTGCTCCACGCTCCATGCTGATTCCACACCAATTTCAAGTAAAGTATACTAAATACATATGTACATCGCGATCAAAGTTTCCGAGGATGAAGATACTGTGTGTGATAAAATAGTTATTTCTATGTTCGTTTAACCCTTTGCACTCGGCTGTCTCCTCTGAAGGGTCATCCAGCAAAGAATTTGAATGAACACTCCAAGGAAACACAACGATATTATTGTTTTAATGTGATTATATAAAAAGAAATGTGTTCACTTGGATATTTACTATATATTTCGTAAGAAGGGTTAATACTAAAGTGCTGCTATTAAAGTGTTAACAATTCGTAAGTGAAAAACGGGGGAGATAGTGGTAGTAGAATCTGAGCGATCGTTTGGCAATCGGTTGGCCGTAGAGACCTTCGAGAATCTCGTTCCAGTTTCTCGATCGAGAGAAACTAGGGCGAGAAACAAGATATTTTCCCCATGGTGGGCACGAAATGTTCCAACGATACCGTGGTTCGCGAACAAACGAGAAAGTAACGTACCAATCACACGCGCCAGTGGCCGTGGAGCGCCAGCAGGGCAGCGCACGAACGCATTAAACATTCCGTCTGATTTGAATGTTGTACAGGCGATTATCGGGAAAGAATCGGCCCGGAGTCAGCAGGATCCTCGAGCTCGCCAGAATCCAGGATTATCGGTGGAGAGAAAGCCACCATAGAGAAATATCCATTTGCGGTTAGTACAACGTGCGATCGATCTTCACAGTCGATTTGGCATTTAGAAAATCGTTGCCTCTCCCGCAGGTCTCGTTGCAGAACAATGGTACGTTTTTCGGCCACGAAGTCGAGCATTTCTGCGGCGGCAGTATAGTCGGGGAAAAGTGGATAATAACGTCAGCGCAGTGCGCTCTCAGGCAAGATTAATATATCGCGTTGTCGGCCGGGTGCCGGTTCCCATGTACGATTGCACGCGGTTCGATACGTTTTTCTTCTGTTCCATGGTTTTTTTCAGGATACGCGTGAAGAGCTTTCACGTGAGGGCTGGCACCGCCAGTTATTACAAGAACGGTGACGTTTACGCTGTTAAAAACGTTCTCAGCCATCCCGCCTTCAGCGAATATAATTACGATTACAACGTCGGCATCGTTGAGGTAAAGATCACTCTGGAAAAATAATCTAACCTTTTTAAAGAAAAAACCCACGTTCACAGACCACTATGAAATAAAAAATCGAGTATGGTATAGTTCTTTTCGCTCTCTGGATACCGTTTACGAATTTCATCAACATTTACTTGAACCGTTCGTTTTGTTTCTTCGTAATTGTGTAAAGTAATGGTACAATATTTTGTTGGCACACCACCTAGCTGTCCGAAAACATCAGATACGACAACACTAAGCAACCGATTAGGCTACCAAAGTTCCATTCAACGATCAGTGACGGTTCCCGTGTCCAAGTCCTCGGTTGGGGAGCGCCCGTGGTAAGAACGATCGGGCAAAATGCCCAGAAACAAGTTATATCTAGTGGCGGAATATCGCAATCGGTCTATCCAGTTACTAGGTCCCATCTCGGATGAACTATTATGCAGCACGATGCAGAAAATTAATAACAACGACTGCCAGGAAGCTAGCGAGGGCGACTTATTAACGAACACGATGTTTTGCGCTTTCTCGAACACTGTTAGCGCCTGCGTCGGGGATTCAGGCTCGCCTCTCGTTTTTAACGGCACGTTGTTCGGTAAGTTTCAATATCATATTCGTGGCTATCGTTAATAATCGTCCTGTGATACTATTCGACCTAAACCACCGCCAGTCGATTAATTATACAGAAGGTATTCTTTTAAACCGATTAACTCTATATTAAATCGATATTGGATTAAAGCGTACGAAAGGCTTGGCTCGATTTTTATATCAAAACTATCTATCTAACGAACACTGTTCGTACTCAAAAACTTATCAGGATATTTAGCTAATTGGTCAAGTTCCTGTTGACACTCTGTCCAACGAATAGAGTAAATTAATTATAAAATAAATATTAATAGAATTCTCCATAGGCGTAGCATCGTGGAGTCGATCCTGTCAGTCGATGTATCCAACCGCTTACACAGCTATATCCGAAGTGAGAGACTGGATCACCGAAATTACTGGTATAGCTTGATCATCCGAGCACCACGATACGAACGACACGTAGCATAGTTTATAAATTATTTAGCCCAATGTCCGTATTGGCACATTCGATTATGTCCCTTGCAATGCTCGCCAAGCATTCTGAATTTTATTTGACGCAGCGTATCGCCTTAAATTTAATAATATTCCATGTTAAACACACCTATTAAAACGAAATGTTTAATAAATGTTTCTATCTATACGTATCTGATACATATTTATCTTTTTAACGTTGCTTTGTCGAGGGAAATCTTTACGTGGCTTTTCTTTCCTTGGGAAAATTCCTACACTTTTCCACAGGTCTTTTCTACAAGAATTAATTCGGTAGATATTTAAAAGCACGGTAGATGTTAGCGAGTAAAGAGTTGTATTTACGAAAAAGGGTACGACGCGACGTCGAAGATAGGATGTTTCGACTTCCTATGCCGTACAACGAAAATATCGATAGTCTGATACCTTCCCGACGAGAAAAACCGATAGAAATCCGTATAAGCCAGGGGAAAAGTACTTCCCCCCGGCAACGCAACGTTGCGCAGAGAGAAAATGTTTAATTTCGAGGCTCCTCGAGACGTCGCGCCATGAACTGATAGCTTTCGACTGGCCGTTGCAATAATCCTATTAAACCGCAGACGCGATCCAATAACTTTTCTGTCATTGGCTGCTCGCACCGTCCTCCATTCGGCTGTTATTTTTATTCCGCTGCGCCGCGGTTTATATTCGCCCGGGAAACAGACACACGTATTACTGAAACGAATTAACACGCGAATGTCGCGTATTTCTTCTTTTATATGCAACCAAAGTGACGTTTCAATTAACGATTCGTTAGAAGAAAAACGACCAACGCGAGGATCTAAGGGATCGCGTACAGCTGGACACTTGGAAGTTGAGAAGGCCCGATTTTATGAATGGCTTTTCGTTAAATTAGTCGAATTATTTTCATTTCTTTCGCAAATAAACATTCATATCAGAATAGATATTTTGAAATGAAGACTGCGACACGTTGTATAGATTCGCAATGTACCGTGTTCGAATCGTTTCGCTCAGCGCTTCGATCCAATAGTCGGCATTCTGCCGCGACATGACGCATTTCCGACCATGCATCGCATCGGTTTAATCCAAAATCCGCGGCTACGATTCAATAAACTTTCCTACACTGGCACGCATTTACGACCGCCATTCGCGGAAGCTCGTTCCGCTGTTTCCTCGTCGCGGGGAAATAATAGTACAAAGGAGACATCCAATATCTCGTTTAAGCGCGGTAGCACAAAGATGTCAAAGATGAGAAACTCTTGATATTGAGTTAACCTTAATGCACTGGTAATGTCGTTCCGACTACTGCGACAAAGTTATTACGCCCTAATGTCGTAACGCGTATTACGCAGACGTTAGCACTCAGAGGGAACGTATAGAAGACCGTTTTGCCATTTCCGCGGATCCCTAAGAACTGTGCAACCACTGAAAAATACGCATTAAACCGGGAAACATTCCGCGCCCGGATCAGACAATTCGAAAGTTTCTGCCGAGGCATAAAAAAAATTCTTTGAAAAAGATAGCACAGAGTGTACAAGTATGAAAGGAAATCTCGTTCGGAAGATCGAGATTTTTAAGACTCGTCGGTCGTGATCAACATAGATTTGCCAGGAAAAAACTTGTAAAGAATAAAAAGTTTGTACATCGGGTAGAAGAGTGGTACGGAAAGACCAAATGGAAAGATAGCAGGGAGTAGGGAAGAAAATAGCCAGGGAAACCGGCTTTATCGCGAGTCTACGACAGAGGAAAAGAAGTTTCTCGACGAGCAATGAAGCCAAAATTTCTTCTCGCGGCGGCTCGATTAACCCCCGGGGAGGCGGAGGGTTGATAATCACCTCGAGGAAACAGGTTGCGCGCCACCCCTTCGCAGTCGGGCAGAACATATCAGAATGCGGGGTGTCGCAAGAAGCCACCGACATTGGGATGCTTATTGCGACTATTTGGCAAGATCCTTGGCAATATTAGCGTTGCTCCGAGCTTGGTGGTTATCCGAGACCTGGAACACATTCCGTCGGGCTCTTTTCGGTACGTTAGAAACTTAATAATATAAAAGGAAGGAACGAGCACGGTGGAACACACGTACAGGGTGGAAGGAGCTGGGCTCGCCGCGATGCCGTTGTTTCGAACGAAGAAATAAAAAGAGTCCACGCTGGGAGGACCCCGGTACACGCTCGAGATTCTATCAGTATTTTCTCGACCGCGTCCAAGACTCCCTGGACTCTGTAATTATTGTTTGCTCGCGGGGAGTGCGGCACGGAATGGATTCGCTATCCCGCCTCGTGCTTTATCTTTATCGAGTCGATCGAACGATACAACGATATACAACTCTCGATATTTGTTTCGCGATACTTGGGCTCGAGCCTCGAAGATAGACGGAACGAAGTTCGTTAAAACAGTTTGCGTACTCGTTTACGAAATATTAAATTTAACTGGAGAGATCTTGTGGACGAACTAATTTGATAGCAGCGAGACACGAATACTTTTCCTTCCCGTACGTATCTATCAGGGTTAATATTCACCAGCAAGGCAACTGGTTACCTGTGATTTTTCTTTCTGACGCGGATCGCGTTGCTAACGCGTTAGTAGGTGATACCTATGCGGGAAATCCTTGTTATTTACAGGGAAATCCAGTGGTAACGTTGGTTCCGCGGGTACTCTGTTCGAGATTTGCAAACACTCAGCGAGGCGGAACGACCAATATAAATGTACCGAGTCGCTGAATGGAGCGGAGGTTGTCTACTTTGTTTCACCGTCGTGTGGCCGTTTTTCTTGCTTCGCGTCGTTTAACGGGACGGCGCGGCGCGGCGTCGCGCGCGACAACGCTAACGAAAATTTAAAAGCGTTATCAGACGAAACGCTCGCGAGTTCTGAGACCGGGCGGACACTCGTTTAAAAGACCGGTCCGCCGCGTCGCGTCGTGACAAATTTCTGATTTGCAACTCCGTCTTGGCGGCCATTTGTCCCCGAGCAGCGCTGTAAAATTTAACAACTGACGAATGGGACGCATTACTTAAGATTACCTTACCTCGCTTCTTTCTAAGGACTCTAAGGCTGTTTGCGGCGCGCTCCGGCGTCCTAACTTTTCGAATCGTTTCCCCCGGTCGTATTCGCGACCCACTTTACGATTAATTCGGACGGAGACAAGAACGATCTCGTCAGCCGGAAAACGGAAGCGATCGAGCGACAAAACCGTCCGCCGAAGCTTGAATATTTATAGAAACACGATCAAGCGTTTAACTACCTAACTTCTCAAAGGGAAGTTGGCTTATGTAATACTTGCAACTGCAATTTTTGTATTTCCATTGTGAATTACCGAACGATGGAGTATTTTTCTGCCATTTTCGCAGCGAAAGAAGATCACGATTTTTTGTCGAACAATGGAATACTGTTATTTCACGTTCCGTTGTTCAGTTTTTAAAATCTGCCTGCCATACGAATTCCCTTGTATAAGTCCCTGGCGCGGCGTAGCAAATCGCGAAACGTTCCGTCCCCGGAATCAATGTCTACATTAATGCGACGAAGGGAGCCGATGCAATATGTATTTTGATACATAAATCATAAGCACGGTATTAAAACTGGGAGGCGGACGCGTGGCGGATCCATCGGCGAATTTCCTCGTATCGGGCCGCGTTTCAAATCCATCGAGAAAAGGTTGAATCCTAACGTAGTATGAAAAGCAGCTAGGCAGCGCGTACAACCGGAGCGGGCGATATTTTCAATCCGGCGACCTTGCGCATAATGTTTCAGCCATCGATTCTTAATATCCGTATCGGAGGGCGAAGAAACACGAATATCGGAGTCGGGGATAGAAATTTAGTGAAACGGTCACGACCGAAGGAACAACGTCGAACCGTTTCCCTTTGCAAATGCACACGACCGGAACGATTAGGCGAAATATTCTAATACTATGGGTTTGCGAATGTCTAAGAAAGTCGAGCTTGGACTATGTGTCGCGTGATCAGCGGTTGTTTTCAATGAACGAGCACGCTTTGGGGAAGGAAGAACAGGGTCTTCTAATAGCACTAAATCAGACGCGAAAGAAACTTTTTAACGTAGAAAAATCGAAACTCGAACCTCTGTTTCTATCAATAGATCAATCTCAAGGTTCAGCAACGTTTATCTTGTATAATTTTCACCTCTTCGAGGGTAAAATGCTTTGCACGAAGTAAACTAAAGTTAAAAGTGACGTTGACCGAAACGAGAAAATAATAATATAGAAAGAAAGAGCCATAATTGTTACGTAAGATCGTGTCTGAGGCGATATCCGACGCGCGGTAGGAACGTACAAACAGTATGCAAGGACACTTTGTGCGCCGTTAAGCAACGATTCGGCCCACCCTCGAAATTTCGGATTCCGCGATTCATGTACGTATACCTAGGAATACGATCGCGGAGGATTGGAGCAAAGCTCCCCGACGCGACGGCACTATGTGCAAATAATCCCAGCAGGCCCCGACGTTCCGTCTTCTGCTATCTGGCTCCTTCTATTCCGCTTCGACGATCCTGGCAAAACCGAGCCGTTTGGCGGCTCCTGTCGCGCGTGACGAGCCCACAGACGGGATTCCATTTCGTCCCGTCGCGCTATTCCTCCTGCTTAGCTGCCGGAAATATGACGCGAGACTCGGGAATATTAAGTATCAGCCGACCCGAGTCCATCCTGGGTTAAAAGAGTTCACCATTAACGTGACGGAGAACCTAAGTGGCTTGGCACGAATCGCATATCTGGAATTGACTCCGCCAATACCTTGAATCATTCGACTTTAGTTCGTTAATACCGACAATCGACCGAGTAACTATAATTTTCAGAGCTTGAAATATAGCGAAGAATGTTTAGTTACCAAAGGTGTAAAATCCCTGACAGTTTCAGCGTTAAATGTCTCGTAAATTATTAATCGTCTCTATTAAGATTTTCCGATTAAAACACGAGCCTCACACTCGCTTATATCTCCTTGTTGATGTTAAGCTCTCGATACTCGGCTTATCCGCTACTTTGATCGCGTTTCGGACTAAATGAACGTAGCTCGATAACAATACATCTGTTACAAGCTCCAGAAAACCATTAGACGCGACTCAGCACGAAACGAGGAGGAATTATCGAAAAATGATTGGTTACCCAGCGAGCGAAAAAATAACGAGGCGTTCATGAATCGATCGTTTTCGCGTACGAGCGATAAAACGGCGCGACAAACTTTCCGCTTCCGTGTAACAGTTACCATGACGAAGAAGCGATAAATCAGAAGGGAAACGTAACGCGAAACGCGAAACGCGAAACGAGAAAAGAACTGTGAGCGTGTCGAGCGTGGGGTGAAAGGAGTCGCGCCGAGGGAAATAGTAAGTCTACGGGGGTCGCGGTGCTCGCAGAAGTGGACGAAAAGTTTCGCGAAAACAATGACGAAATAAAACGCGGTAACATATGTAACCACGTTGCACCGGGAGCCTTAGGCAGTCGTCTTTCCTTGTCGCCTCTACGTGAACGTTTTCCAACGACTCGCTTTTATGCACTGCGCGATCCCGGAATGTTGCTAGCGACGGCGGTGTATAGAAATTGTAAGTAAAATGTTCCAGCGGCGCACGAGAGTAGAATGGCTGAAAAGATCCAAAGTCAACTTTCAAGGTAATTCGTAACTGAAAATACTCCCTTAAATTCAGTTTTCGTGACGGTAAAACGTGCACGTCGTTCCCTGTCCTATACCAAACTGTCAAGGGACGAGCATTATCCTACATTCTGCTCTTCCGAGCGAATCTATTGGAATTTCTCAAACTTTTTAACATTTCCTCGTAACAACGCGTTCCAGTCGTTTGTTTACCCTGACTCTGTCCAACTTCCAAGTTACGTGTACCCATCGATCTTTATATTTTATTCTTTAACGCGTTTGACGGTTCGATTCTCGGTAATTGCGGTTAATTACGCAGGCTCAACGTTTGACAGGCAACGAGAGAGTAGCTTCGTCGCGAGGATTCAATGCGTCTGTTGGCTTCTTTGCACCATAGATGATTAAAACGACTAGTAGACAATGCAGCTGCTAGCGCCGTGCTCTATAACAATACGTTATTGTAAGTACAACGACGTTCGTTACATCGGTCCCTGGGGGCAATCTTCTTTTGTGCGTCTGTCTCGCGCGTTCTCACACAACGGAAGTATTCGAAAATTCTCGTTACAGCCGAACAAACAACTTTATACCTTATTAGAGATCAGGCGGATCTCTAATCCGGAAGTACTCGTTAACGGATTACCAAAATAGTAGATCTTTATTTGTCGCGTCTACTTGTTTCTATTCGAAAACGAATGGCTAAATGTTCGTTGATCGACTATTGGCGCATCTTTAACAACGAAAACGTAAGAGGAGGTGCGCGAGCTTTTCCTGTGTATACCCGCGTGTTAAGCCGTTCGTACAGCGCGTCGCGGTACAAACCAAGTATTAGTAGTTGGAAATTTCCAAGAGATTACAACGAATTAAGCCGAGAGGAAGGCGCAGCTACTCGCGAAACATCCGACCGGACCAAATAACCGGCTGTTATTTCGCGAAAACGGTTTCGAATAAAAGTGACCAATTTGGACGGAATTACTGGTCGTTTTGTCTTGGAAATGTACATATCGCGAAAGCACAATCTGATCTCTTGATCATCGTCGCGTCGTGTCGCTTAGGAATGAGCTGACAGCAACCAAAACACAGTTGATCAAGAGCTAGTTGGATTTAAAATGGTAATTTTCGTGGGATTGCACGCTATGGGTTTATTTCTGGATCACTTTCAACTCGCCGCCTCTAATGCCGCCTTATTTTCATTGCGTTCGGTCGAGTGCATCATAAATAATACAGGTTGCTTGTTTTGCGAGCCGCATGCATCACATTCATAATATACTTGAGATACATAGGTATGTGCCTCGTATATCCGGCGGTACACTATCATATAATTTTAACGGTGCAGCGTAGCCTTTTACGTTTACGAGAGTCGTTTGGCATAGCATTAATTCCGGCGCGGCAGCGCGTTTCGAAACACGTGTCCGTTTTAAAAGCTACAGGCGAGCGCGTTCGTCGCCTAGGCTATTCGCGGGCGTTTCGTCCGCGGCGTACGACACGAATCGATAGCGGAAAGCGACAAGATACGCGCTCGTAAAGTACGATCATTGAATAAATTGTCTCCGACTTTCCTTTTATTTTTATTCCCGTTTTTGTTTCGCAGGCTTTATCGAGCGCGACAAGATTTGCAAGTGTTTGCGTGCACGTGACCAAAGGCAACAGCGACAGAATAAAAAAAATAAACAATACGCTTTACGAGTAGCGAATGGTGCACCCATAGTTTGTCGTTGTTTCGATTGTTCTATTGCCGGCCGGCATTCATTTATCGCCAAGTGATCGAAATTGTTTTGCCAGTCCGTTGCTGTGTTTGCGGATCTTGGACGTTGAGTCGACAGTGTTACCAAATTTACACACCTATTTGTAATCTCTCGCGACAGATACCTATCGCTAGTTGTCGCAAACAGCGATCGATTACAGATACGCGATATCTATTATATTCACGGAATTAATTATTTTTTATTAAATACCGATCTCAGGTACACGTACGCTACAATGTACGTTGGATATAGATAAGTTTGTCACTCGACCGAGCAAGAAAAATATCCATTCGTTTAATCCGACGATTATTTATTATTTCACAAATGTCGTTCTTCCTCTTTCTGACCGCATTTCCGTTCGCGGTGTCGCGGGACACGGCTGTCGAAGCTTCGGCCGGAAACGCGATTATTTCTGTCCGATGTCGACATCTGTCCACCTTATCAGTTCCGCGTCTGAGCTTTGATTAGACCGATTTCGACGCGAACCTGGACAGTAAGTTGCCAGACTGTTTACGTAGAAACATGTTACCGTTGGTGCTTTTGATCGCGTCGCTCGCGTTCGCGAGCTGCTACGAGCCGCGAATAATTGGAGGATCCGAAACGACCATCGAGAAGTATCCGTATCAGGTAAACCAGCCGCGTTGCAACAACTATCTATCGATAACTACCAACAACAAAGTAAACGTTTCTGCGTCAGGTGTCTATTCACTACAACGGGGTGTTGAAATGCGGGGGCTCCGTAATTAGCCAAAACTGGGTGCTAACGGCGGCGCATTGTGTCTACGGGTACGTGTTGATTGAGTTATGGAACAACGCGGTACCGAGTAGATAATTTATTAATTACCGGAGACGCGGAATTGGTGGTTTGTAGCCGGCTTTGTACGGAGATACGAGGTTAATTGCGATTATCTTGCAGGGAGAACCCCACCCTTTTCCAAATTCGCATCCAAAGCACTTACAGTAACAAGGGAGGTACGCTGATTACCGGCATCAAGAACACGATTTACCACGAACTTTACGACAACGAGTCCCTCGAATACGATGTCGCCTTGATACAGGTACGAGTATGCCAGACTTTATTCCGTACAGGTATAAAAGAAATAAAAAAGGATCGAAAATCGAGTAGAGACTGTTCATTCGTAACTCGAAAGGTATAGGATACTTCTACACGTATTTTTGAAATACCCTGTATACATATTATATCTAGCTATATTATCATCCGTGAACATGAAATAAAATTTCGTCATACGGGGCTTTGATTTCGAGATAAACGACTCGGAAAATCGATCTGGTACGCGTGCAATAGAGTACGACACAGACATCATTCATTCGACTTATTTAAAGAAAATTTCTGTTCCCAGTAAGCTTATATTTTAACCACGCAAAAATATAAATAAATTCTAATAGTAGGATTTTTGTTTAAAGATATAGCTCCGATATTGGTAAAAATTAGATTTATTGGATTCGATCGACTAATAAATACAACTCGATAAACCGGATAAGATAAATATTATCAGTTTTAAATTCCTATAACAATGACAATTTACGTTACGGATCGTTACGTTATTGTTATTATTCTTCATTAATGTTTAATCTCGGGGACTATTATCTGCTCGGTTTTACTTTGCGGACGTCGCTTCGCTAATTGTAAGATTGCGTGTGTGCAGAAAAACGAGCGTCGTCCAAAGTGCGCAAACACTTACGGGTAGTTTTTGCTTTTCAAGAACACTCCCGCGAGCACATAACAGAAAAAGCTGTCTGCAGGATTGTACGCGGCAAACGCTCGTGCAACAAACCGTGTTTCGTACTCGGAGTAATTTCTTTTTTTAAAGACCACTCGAATGCAGCTGCATTAACATACATGTATGTTAAATTGTCGCGTTCGAGGCTACAAACAGCGATTCGTTTTCTGCAGTTACCGTCACCGATAAAGGAAAGTGCGACCGCGAAGAGCATCGCTCTTCCACCGCCCGGGGCTACCGTGATGACCGGAAGCAAAGCGCTGGTGACAGGATGGGGCCTAACGAAGGCAAGTGTTTTCTTTTTTTGTTGACCGCGCGTATCGTTTTGACAGCTGTTGCATAGGTAAACCGTGTTTGACGGTGGCTCGATGCTTCTGTCAACGGTGACGTTCGTCGAGACTGATTACTGATTACCCACCGCTGAACTCGCGCAAACATTAAGGTTTTGTTTGTCGATCGGTCGACAATGTTCGGTCGTCACGGCAAACATTCGTCGCGGCGTTTGCTGTACTCTGGGAGCTCGTTGTGCAGCTCGTGGACGATGCAGCTCGAAATCGCCTCGCCACTTGCATAATGCCCAGTCACTTGCAGGCAGGCGGCTCGATGTCGAACACGCTGAAAGTCCTAACGGCGCCCGTCGTCGATCAAGACACTTGCAAGAAGATCTACGCGGTTCAGCATTACCTGACCAAGGAGATGCTGTGCGCCGGCACGATGATCGGCGGCCAGGACACCTGTCTGGTAAACATATTCGATATACTATATTCACCTTGTTCTCCCAACGGAGAAATTTTGTCGAAACTCGGGAATTTCTTTATTCGATACCTGCTGTTACTATGGAAATTCTTTGACACCACGCTACCAACGAGTATTTCAATATTTCGAGTCAATTTTTTCTTCCTTGTTTTGCACGGTGCAACTCTGTTTGGTTTTCAATTCTTTAAAAAAAAAAAAACAATCGCTTTTGAACGCGATGGCCCTTTTAGCACTGTGAAAAACGTGTAAAAAGCGACCAAGTGGATTCACGGAAGAAGGTTAAAATGCACCGACTACACGGTCGGCCGTGCCTCTCAAAAAATATTCATATATCCGTTATTTTGTCGAGCTAGATGGAAAATATTTATGCAACTTTCTGCAGCGGTGTAACCTCTTAAGATAGCAGTATGAAATGGAAATTAACGATTCAGTGATTTTTTCCACGAGTATCGGTTTCTCTGTTCGATTTTAACGTTGAAATTGAGCAACCGAGCTGGTGAATACTTTCGTTTCCGACACGATGGCCAAATTTTCGTTGGCTCGTTTCGTTGTCTGACAAACGAAATTATTCAGCCGTAGCCGTCGCGTTCTCGCCACGGCGCCGCGTCGCGTCGGTGTACTTTTAATATCGCGCTATTGATTCTCGTAACAACGCGACGCGACGGTTGAAATTTAGAAAAGGTTATTTGCACGTGACGACACACAGGGTGACTCTGGAGGTCCGCTGGTATACAACGGTGTTCAAATTGGTATCGTGTCCTGGGGCTTCGAATGCGCGAGACCTGGATATCCCGGAGTGTACACGCGAGTGTCTGCCGTACGATCTTGGATAACGAAGCATGCCAACGTGTAAAATTAATATCTCTCCGCGCATACAACATCGCGCGGAGATTAATTTTTACCCATACGCGATAAACCCGCAGCCCCGTTCAAATGGAAGGAAACACCGACAGAAATTCAGCATTTGCACCACTTACTCCGGAATTTTACAAATAATTTCAATATGTAGTTTTCTTTGTACTCGAAGTAAAGTTTCTGCATCTAATCGTTTTGTAATACACATTTTTTGACAAATAAATATACCTGTGAATTGTACCTGTATCAATCCCAACGTGCATGGCAGCGATTGCGTTTTACCTGAGCCGCGCAATTTTAAATACTGGCCAAGCGTATCGATGACCGTTCTCCAGGTTGCGTCGCTATTTTAACTAATAAAAATCGCTTCCTGCAACGTTGAATTCGTTCGGACTTTCTCGTTGAAAACGACAAGAATTTCAATTACCAAACTCGATAGTTTTTACCGATACCTTTTTCTTCGAACATAATTAGCGTTTGTTTCACAGTAAATGAGAAGAACTCTTTCGACCGTCGTTAGCTGTTCTCATTGGAACGTGTAAGGTGAAAACTGTTTTTTAAAAAGTTTCATAGCTTGTGCGTTTGAACCGGGAGCTGTTTAAAAGTTTGAAAACCTCGAACCCTAGTTACATGGAATCGGATGGATTTTGGTGCGTTGAACGATCGTTCTTTTCGTGGTCCAAGTGTATACGGGTCGACGCAACAGCACGAATAGCAAGAGACGTCCGACGCATACAGGGCGCGCGGTGGGTGGTGGGTGGTGGGCGTTTGGCGGTAGGAGCTCGATGAAAGAGCTACCTGTTCGCCGTGAAGCTCGCTAATGAAAAGGCGTCCTCTAGACTATACACATATACACACGTACAGAGACAGAGTGCACAGGACAGAAACTCCTCGACCGACGTTTCACCGTTCTCGTCTTCTCTCGTCTGAACACGGTCGCTCGTCATCGAATTATTATTTTTACCGTCGACTCGGACGTGCCCGGGTTTTCGTCGATGAGACGTCCTATGAACGGTACTCCAGCATCGTACAGGTGGCTGGCTCGTAAAGGGCGACAGAGAATGAGCGTCGTTATCGCACGTGCCGACTCCGATCGGAATTAAGAGTGTTTTGTTCGATCATTTGATCCTCGCTTCGGTGTTACGAAATTATGTATAGCTGGAGGAAGATTTGAAGATTTCAGAACTACCATTAAACCGAAACCTCGCCTCGTACTAACGAGCTTTTGATTTCCGTGTTTTGGAATTTTATAACTAATGACTCTCTCCATATATATATATATATATATATATATATACATATATATATATTGTAAATGGGACATTTATTTGCAGAAAGTGCCTACAAAATAATTTCAATGCAGATTAACCAAGAATAGATTTTTGGGTATTTTATAATATGAATAATATCGTTGGACAATCGAATCAGTTATCGCAAATAATTAAAAACTATTCTCTTCCCTCGGTATTTTATTAGCGTATAGTTTTGTTTGCGACGTTTTAAATATTCCCTTGATTGGTTCGTACAGAAGGAACGATATTATTTGACGCTGGCGGCGCTGTGTAACTTTATTTCAGTCTTGCACCTTTTTACGTAATCGACGCGGAATGTAGGTCAACGGTCCGAGACTTTCGTGGATCGGAAATTTTTCTCGTGTCCAGGCAAATTGATACGAACGACAATTAACCCGAATATCGAAATAAAAGAAGGGCGAGCCTCGTGGCGAACAGGTAGTTCTGTTTCCAAGTTCCCGCCATGTATACGTGGATACTGTTCCTGTGGTTTCAGCTAGCCTCGGCCGCGTGGTCTCACATCTTTCTCTTCCAACGTACGTACGATCCATCATTATCGATCACGGTAATTCAAGGAAAACGCTTAAACGTCAAGTATTTTCGTTCAGACGCGAAATGTTCGTACGGACATTTCGTTATTTAATTTTAAATCGAGTGCTCGTCGTAATTTCCAACGATTGCTGGCAACGTTTGTTTTTTCAGTGCACACGTTGTGTCGTTTTATTAAACCGAGGTAGTTGAACATCGAGCGCTTTTCAAGAGTACAAGCATCTCTTTTTCGAGCATTCAATTATTCACGATTTAAGGGGAGCCATTAAATTTCATCGTAATTCACGGAGCAACGTTGCGCTTTAATTAGCAGTTTTTCAAAAGCCATGCAAGCGAAAACGCTAATTCAACTATCGATTCTTCTAGTTGACGAGAGTCGTATTGTTGGAGGCCAGCCAGCACGTATCGACGAACATCCCTACCAAGTAAGTATTCTTAAACGATCCTCGGTATTACCGGCGAAGATTAATCGATCCAAATATTTCGCGCGGAAACGTGTGTTTCGACCGTATCTCCAAACAAGCAAACGAAAGTCAATAAATCTGCCTACGAAAGTCGTACAGTTATCGTTCCTGTTTGAAAGGGAAATATATTCGTTGCTAATAGATCGCGCGGAATCCATTTTCCAAGCTTCGATATTTTTCCAATCTCTGGTAAATCTCGATACGCGGTGAAATTATTACTATTTAACTTTTTGCTAGTATTTCAACTGCAATTGAAATTTTGCCCCAATTACAGCTTTTAGTTCGTCGATGTGAAACGTTATTGGTCGATCTTGAAAAAAAGCTCGTTTTGAAATTTTGAAAACCACTTTCGACGATTCGATACATTTAAAACGTGTATCAGACACTGATGACTCTTTTTTTTTTAATGTACATAAACGTATCACCTTGAACAAACTACGATAAGAACGACACGACTTACACACAAGACGACCTAATAGTACGATCATCTCGCGATCTAAATTATCCAAGACAAAAGAAAGTTGGATCCATTAATAAGGAAGGCAATTAGAATGGGCAAGTTACGCGGTTTATCCTGTGGAAATAATTTCTCGTCGCAACTTTGGTAACGATAATCCGTTTACCTTTTGAAAATGACTTTATCGAGTAACCACGAAAAATATATCCACCGGATTGCCGCAATTTTACGAGAAAACATTGCGAATTTCACGGTTATCGGGCTTGATAGCCGCAAAACTGATACGCAGGCGAAATTTATAGGTATCTCTACGATTTAACAATCGTCACGTATGCGGTGGCGCTATCATTAGCGAGGTATGGATCGTCACGGCCGCACACTGCGTCCAGAGGTACGCACACTTTTTCGTCAACCATATATAGTCGTTATCAACTTTGATACGCGATGTCGATGATCCTACTTAATAAGTAGAAAACTATTAGAGTATAGATCTAATTAATTAAGAATCAAGGCACTTTCATATTAATTATCATTGATCGTTCGTTCTTCCATTCTAAAATATAAAAACTAACATTTTCAGTGCTTTCGTCCGGTTCGTTTCGATAAAGGCTGGCACTTCCAACCTTACCGACAAAGGGACGGTCATCGTCGCCAAGCAGATCATTAGCCACGAAATGTACGATCCAAGAAGCGCCGATTACGATATTGCTTTGGTCCGGGTGAGTGGATTTCATCGCGATAAAGTCGAAACCTTTGGCGTACAGTCAGATGTTTAAATAATATAATGGTATTCATAAAATCGCGAAGGAAATATACGGTCTCCGATATCGCGCCGACAATTTATTTCCGTCACGGTCGATCGAGCAAATAACAAAGAAACGAAGCGTCCTCGTAGTAATCGGGAGGCTCGAGAAATCGCGTCGTAACGAAAAAGCACTCCGTGGGGTCCCCCGTAGTAACCCGGCCCCGTCGATCGATGAACTTTATTTATTAACGTGATACACGTCCCCCCTCCCCAGCTTCGAATAAACTCGAAGAATTCAATTACCGTTTCACAATCAATTCTGCAATGTACAGCCTCTCTGCTTGGCACCGCTGAAACCAATTACAATTTCAGTTGGAAAAGCCGCTGGTGTACAGTTCTCGAGTGAGACCGATCCCGCTGGCACCGATCGCCGATCATTATACCGCCGGTTCCAAGGCGTTGGTCACCGGATGGGGTGTTTTGAGAAGCAACGGCCGGTTGACCAATCAGTTACGTAAGGCAGAGGTGCCCCTCGTCTCTAATACAGACTGCTCAGAATTGTACGCGACTCGTACAATCACGCCGAGAATGATTTGCGCCGGTTACGTAAGCGACGGCGGCGTGGACGCGTGTCAGGTAATTGCTCCCATTGATTGTCGCTTAGACCGCACACGCTGGGGCACTGATGTTTCCGCGAAACTAATATCTTTTTGAACCGTTACTTTTTTCTACCTCATTCTACAAATATTACAAAATTTCTAGTCAAAGAGAAAAATGCTCCTCCGTTCTATCTTCTATTTTCGAAATACATTGAGAGAAACACCGAGCGTTATGATATTTTCGACGGAACAAAAGGATAATATGTACATATTCGATCAGCGTTAATCGACGTATTCTCGAAATACATTGAGAGAAACACCGAGCGTTATGATATTTTCGACGGAACAAAAGGATAATATGTACTTATTCGATCAGCGTTAATCGACGTATTCTCGATCTCTTTTAACGAAATTCTATTTGTCCGACAGGGTGACAGCGGTGGACCATTGGTGCAGTACGACAGACTAATCGGAATAGTATCCTGGGGTATCGGATGCGCTCGACCATCTTTTCCAGGCGTTTATTCGCGCGTTACGATCCTCCGAAATTGGATCACGGAGAAGACCGGTTTGTGAGCACCTCTAACGCGGTCTCTAACATTTATTCAACAGCGTCGCTATCCCCCGCGTCGTTTCCTCACTGCCCTCTTGTTCGTTCGCGAACAGACTTCGTTACGTTTTGCAAAGACAAACAAGCTTCCGCGGAGAGTTTTGCCGTCGAAAGTCGGTATCGATATTAAGAGCTTCTTTTTTTTATACGAGCAAGTAAAAGAGCTTCGCGCTAGAAGTTAAGTTTCCTCGCGACGTCGCGCGAGCTGGTACATTTCTCTTTTTCTTGCACTCGGTTCCCTTCGTCGCTCGACACACTTTTCCAAGGGGAAAACGTTTTCGTCTTTCTTACATTGCGTGCGAGAATTTAGCCACGAAATTTCACGGAGTAAACGGTCCACTTACCGTCGCTCTGAACTGTTTCACTTAAAATGCCGAATAAATCTTGCGACCGAATGGTTCCCTGGTTGTTTTTCCTCTATTCTTTAAAATTTCCTCGTCGTTTGTTTCTTTCGTACCACGACCGTATCGTCGTTGTTATTATCGGAGAATAAATACCGTTTCGTTTACCTCTGTCCGGTCGAAAACTTCCGTTTGAATATTTTAGACGCGGCGCGGCGTCAGCGTTAATAAGGCTCGATATTATCGTCACGCTTCGGAACAGAACAAATGCGAATTGGTCGACAGGACCGACTTTTCCACGTTAACTCGTTTATACAAACGCGGCAAAGTAGCGGCAGACCAATAACGAGCCGCTCGCGCCACAGATCCTAATGTACGAACGTAACAAGTGGTCCCTTAATTGAGCCCGTTATTTGTCATCGGAAGTAACAGATATTTATTCTGGCATTTAACAACCAGAAATAGAACGTATTAGTTTGCTAACAAACGATCCAGCGCTGGACAGGAAGTAATTGACGTCGTCCGTCGTTTTTACGTTATCGAACCAGGTTGGCTAAACCGTTAATTAGCTCACTCAATGATCGCTAATTTGCAGCTTCTAAATTCGATCTAGGTCGCGGTTAAACGATAGCAGCGTTCAAAAATACCTTGCTTTCGAGATTCTTCAGTAATTAAAATTGTACGTTGTCGTCATTACAGTCGAATGAAAAATATTTAGTTCAATTATATAACTAGTAAAATAACAGACTGTTTTGAAGACTTAATCCTCGAACAGCGAGCAGTAATGGTACAGTAATCCCTCGTCGATCGTGATACTTTTCAAGGATGTAAGCTCTATAGAAAACCCCCATGAGAGATTACTGCACATTCGTGATAACATTACCAAACATGCACCTATTTTCAAGTTGAGGAAGGAACGGATAGGAATGTAGTTTTAAAGTTTAGCGTTTTACGGAGACGGAAATCAGACGAAACTTCTCTTGGTAGTAGATATTTTCATAAAACCTTTGGAAATATGTTTAAAGTTACAAGGAAGGTATCGCCGTCGCGTGGCCTGTTCCAACGAATTGAATCTGGCGCTGCGTTTCTGATAAAGATTAGCAACGTTGACATTGTAGTTTCGCGAATATCATCTCATATAGTATAGAGGATATCGGAATTTGCCGAGATCCATGGTAGGTAACTGCTGACACGAGTGTATACGCCCGGATGTATCATAGTTTTACACCCTAATCCATAGGATAGAACACCAATCAGCGTCTGGGCTTCCATCAGCGGAGCACCTGGATCACCCTGCAAGTAAACGAGGGTTGACAGTTTCAGTGATTACTTCGAGCTGCGTTGCTCGCGCGCTGATTTGCTAATGCGTTGATACATTCGTAAAGAGAGTGACGGGGTCGATTGTCCTTGCAAAGGCAGAAACCAATTATCGTTGCACGGAGTGTCTCGTATTATTCGCCGAAACCATTTCTCCAAATTAAAGTGTACTTATCTTCGATATTTTCCACGTTATTTTCCACGAATCGATCAAAACGGGACAAAAATATTTTACCGCTAATTGTTTAAAGCGTTAATTTCCCAAATATAACGAAAAATATCGACGGTTGCTTTAATTGAACGCACGGTGTTGCGTTTTTATTCGCGCGCTAGAAACTGACAATTATTTTCGAACGTCCTAACGTTCCAATTAATTCTCGTCTATTAAAACGCGATCGCATTTGGAAATGAACTGTTCGAATCGGCTCGCGTTTATCTGCTCTCGAGAGGCAAACGAGGCTATGTAACTTTCGCGACTCGGTGTTTTCAACATGGAAATCGTGAAAATAAAATAAAAAAGGAAAAGATAACATTGGAATCTATTGTCAGCGAAGAATCAACCAAAGATATTGCTCTTTGTATCGTCCAGCCGAATTTATTGTTATTATTATAACGATGGAGCGTGTTGAAATCTCCGAGCTTTGTGACAATTTTCTATTATACTCGGTGAATAATGTTCAGTTTCTATTCAACCGGTCGCATTCAAATGTTGCTCGTAACGCGCCGCATCTTTTGTGCCCCTCCACGGCATACTGTTAGCACGACGTTCAAATCAGAAACGAACCAATGGCAAATATATCGGTATTATGAATACATCAACTGTCTCTGCGATTAACCATCCTTCGTTAGAATTTCTATAAATACGTTTCCATAAAAAGAGAATCCATTCACAAAGGTAACATTTCTATTTACTTTTATACCTCTCGGCGTTAATATTTTTAGAACGGTTTTTGATCGCGTGCCAATTTAATTAGAATAATAAGAATAATAAGAACGTTAAATGAACATGTATTGTCAAGTCACTTGGTGCGACTGTCGCTATAATTAATAAAGAATTATTAAAAACGAGCTTAAGTTAGATCGACGACTCCTTGATGAAAAGTACGCCGACTGTTTGTCGTTCGTTTAACGCGGTAATTATCGTAGATATAAATATTCCGCCTCGGCCGGTTTGCCCAGTGTTTTCGAGCCGAGCTGCGCGGAAATTGACGCGAGGCGATAAAATTCAGTGAAAAGGGATCGTTTAATTTTCTATCATTCGACGTTAGGTCGGGCCTGTGCCATGGTCCCTCTGATATTGCGTCCTCGAGTCAAGTGAGTTGCATTGTTCGTCTATTGAGTGCAATCGACAACCGAAATTAGCCGCGTGCGCGTATCACCAGACGTCAAATTAACGTTGAATTCCACCGGGAAGCAGTGCGCGTGGATCGCGTGTACGAAGGACAATCAGAATCGCGTTAACGAGGCCCGTGATTCATTCGTTTCGCGCATTTTTCTGTACACTGTACAGAGGACGGAATTTTCTACGCGTTTCATTATTGACGCGAACGCGTTGTTAAACGGACAACGGGCAAAATGAAATCGTACTGAACGCGCCGTAATAAACGACAACGCGTTAATAAATAAGAAATAACAAGGACTAGCGACACTTCGGAGGTTCGAATGTTCATTAATTTGAATTTATGGAGCGTAAGATCGTTTCTGAGATCGTTACCGATGTCTCGTGCATCGAGGACTCTAGTCGCGAATAGAAACCTACCCCGAGGGCACGTTACATTCTATTAATTTCCATACCGATTCGAAAATGGATGTTTGTCCCGGATTTTTAATCCGATTCGCAGAAATGCGATACGAATTGGTTTGTAGAAACGCAAGAATAAAAGCGCGCGTCATCCTCGTAGTCTTCCATTCGTGTTCGAAAATAAAATCGATTTGCAAAACCCGAACATCTCGTGTTTCGCACGGCCATCGTCCGTGTTGGAAACTGATCGTTCCCGTTTTAAATTCAATCCCCGCTACCGAGCAATTAGTTCCAATTCAGTTCAAGCTTTCAACGTCAAATGCCTACATTCCCCGAACGATCAATTTTCATGCTTTGTTCTTTTACGTTCGAGGTATCGAAGAGGGTCATCTGTCTTCTTAACCGTTTCAGCGCGCCGTAATCATTGGTTTTGCGTGTTCACGCGATAGTCGGCAACCAAATCCAGACCGAATTACATTTTAACCCTTAACGAACGAACGTACGTACGTCACCTCTCTCGTGACGTTACTTAATTTACGTGGAAAGTCTGTCTCTAGCTTAACACTTTTATGTAACCATAACCGTAATTTAATCGAGAAATAGTCTATATTTGGGGAAGAAAATAGATACTGTACTGTAATGTGGTGAAAAGTCGAGGTGCCAAACTATCGGGTCGCGTCCATTAACGCAGTCGAATCTCTTATTGTTCCCGAAACGGTTACGTGTGCAATCGGAGGCCAGACCAACAATGGTTGCGGCAAACACGGACACCGAGTGGCGTCACGCTCGACGAGGTCGAGGGATCTCCTTAACGGGGGCTTCAGGATCTTTTAGGTGTTGCAAGAGTTGTCACGGGTCGCGGAGCCATACCCCCTCCAACATTCTCTTGTCCTCATCTTACCTGACACGTCTCCACCCCGAGGGTCATGTTACCGGCACAAAGCATTTTCTGGAGCACCGGCTCGTAGCAAGGCATCGTAGAGCTGCAGATATCCTGGTTCACGATCGGTACAGCCATCGCCGTGATCTGAGATTCGGCCTGGCCACCCTGAAAGTAACCTAATATCTTGATCCAATCACGATTTTGGGCTCTCTCTTCGTGGTCGACTTAGCATTACGAAGACCAAACAGATGCATATTATATAAAAGTTTCTCTTTCATTTATCAGCATCGGAAACAACCATTTTTTTAACACTGTTCGTAGCTTGTTAAAGTTATCGATAAGTTAACCGTATCATTTCGGGAACGAGAATAGATCCGAGAGAAATGGTTAAACTCTCCATCACCATTAGTTACTACGGTCAATAAATTTTCCATCACCATGAATGGTTAAACTTTTTACGATACAGTCTATAGGCGAAGTCGCGAACATTTTCCCTAATTTACGATATTCTTCGGGACCATTTTCTTCGGCTTATCTTCAGTCATATCGTACATAATATTCCGCTCTATTGTTAGTTTCTTACGGTGGACGTTCTTAACGTCTCTGACGTAAGATACGTTGGTATAATTCAAAGTTAATTTTTTATTCACGAAAGGAATTTCTATTCGATTGTTTTGACGATTAAAAATTGGCCGTAATAAAAGCTGAACAAATTTATTCTCCCGTTTCCGGTATACGGGCTTTATATGTGGACTGAAATTGAATCAGACATCGCGATAAAAGTGAATATTTAGCGAACGAGCTTGCGGCTTTAATGACCGCGCGATGACATAGAAAGATAATTATCGCCCGGTATAAAATGGACAGTTTGAAAATAATCTTTTTCCGAGATACGACGATGAGAACGCAACACGTTTCGATGATATATCTTTCTAATTTTTTACACGGAAAAAAAAAGTCAACAAATACGCCGTGAGAAATTGCGCGGTAATTTTTCGTTTACTCTTAAATGATTTTTCGATACCGATATTAAAAACAGCACTCACCAGGTTATGCTTCCAGCCTGTCACGAAGCACGTCGTTCCATCAGCGAGTTTGTAATCCTCTTTTTCCGGTATTCCAATCGGTAGCAATTTTTCACCAAATTGCTCGGGAAGCTTAAACTAAATTCAAACAAATCCAACATTTATTAATATATTTGCTATGCCATAAAGGCCCGTTCCTACTATCGACGAGTGGCGCGTAAAATAAAAGCCATTACATCGCAGTTTCTCGCGTTACGTTTAGATAGACGTTACGTTTAATTTGCCACCGACGCGACGCACCGTTTCGTTCGATATTATTTATTACGTTCTTTTCGCTCGAGTTTCTATTAAAAATTATTAATATTTCGATGCTACGTACTTCCCGCCGGTACGACCCTTTGGAAGACGTACGAGCTTTCGGTGGAATTGCTGTCTATAACGATTGTATCGTAACACGGCTCGCTGTACCGAGCGTAAAAACTGTAATAAAATTCCTGGCGGCGCGACTCGCGTGACAAACGTTCGCGAAGGAGGGCGAGAAGGAGGGCGAGGATAAAGTGCTCCGAAATAAATGTGCTTTTAGCCCTTTAAAAGCGCGGCTACCTTTATTAGCGCGATGTCGTTCAGCAGGACATATTTGTCAAAATCCTCGTGCACAACGATATTGCTCACTTCCAATTCGTCTCCGCCGCTGGAAAGAGTGTCGGAGCGGACGCGCACCGACACCGTCGACAGGTCGGCACTGTGAACGATTATGCGTCGTTATTCATCGTTTTTTTTCAATTATTCGCTCAAACAAATGCATACTAAAAAATGTTTAGAGAACGTAACATAACACGATCAATTAATATTCTTATTATACTTGCCCAAAAACGCAAGATGCCACGGTTATGGCCCACGATTCGTGCACCAGCGCTCCACTGCATACGTGCGTTCCGTATTTCTCGATGGATACCTATACATATTACAAACAGTTGAATGGCGAGTCTAATTATTACGTCAAGTTGCGTAATAAGCTAACAAGTGGAATATAAACGTGGAAAAGAGAAAGGAAACGTAGGGAAATTAAAAGAATGTTTCACAAACTAAATAGGAAAATGATATAAAACGTTTCCACGTAAGAAAGGCGTTACGTTACTTAAAATTTTATTCCTTCAACGTTACAAGAGATTGGAAAACGTATTTCAACTTACATGGTACGGATATTCCGTGATGTTCACGTACTTGGTATTTTCCGACGCAAGAACTGAGCAGAGAGTGAAGAATATTTGCATGAAATTGTACGCGAAATTGGATTCTCGTACGAAGCACCATTATCCAACTTACCGTTCTCGAGAAAAATGCAGAGCAGGAACAGTATTTTCTCAGACATTTCAACGTGAATTGACAGGGAATAACGATCGACCTGTCGAATTATTGGGACTGGAACTAGGTCGGGACACGTCGATACGCGTGCGGGTCGAAATTTTTCGGCGATAAACGTCGTTATCGATTATTAACTGTTGTCGAAAGTGTCTTGTCGCGTCAACTTCAAAAGGGCGCCGGTAATCCATTTTATGTGTTTCGATAGAACGGGAGAAAAAAAAACTTTGCTTTCCCGTGAAAAAGTTTCTTCGCTGTTGTGTTAGTGTCCGAGGCAGATCGTGATTAGCGATATCGTATCGAGAACGAGATAATGGAACAATCGTGTCAAGATTAGTATCCCGTTCGAATTGGAGCGATTTAAAATTAATCAACGTGCCGTGCTTGATAAACTGTATTGCTTGTATACATTGTATGCGCGCTTAATGTGTGTGTTTCGAGTATGCGACTATCACGATGTACACTTTTATTCGTCAGCAATGTATAAAAATTGATTTGAACGACATAAGGGATATAGGAGAAACGATTTCATAATATTTTTCGGCAACGACGACGCGTATTAGTACTATTAGCTTTCTTTACTTTAGCGGTTGGAATTTTACTGAACTTTTTAATTATTGGTGCAAGAATCTTTCTATTCTGAAAGGTTATCGTAACTATTAAGCAGTGTACATGAGAATGTACATAATATTTCCATCGTTCTAGCTCATTCTAACTCTCAAAGGAAGGGTGGTTGGGGCGAGGCTAGGGTGGGTCTCCATTCGCAGCAACCTCCATGTGGTGAGACCCGGGTCATATTATTTACTATATAATTAATATAATTATTAATTACATAGCACATAATATGAGCTAATGGCTGCGTTCTTCCTATAGTTTCCTATAGATTTCGAGTTGCAAATAAATTCTGGACCGTACAGCTTTCATTCCGTTAAAAAATACTAAAATTTTTGTAATTTCATCTTCTGTCTCACTTCCTCTTGTGTTCATTTTGAAATTTGTTGGTAACGTAATGGTAATGGAGCTCTGGAGCTCCATAAAAATGGGCCGAAAAAATACATTGGGTGAAAGGTCTGCTCGTATACCTCGTCTGTGGTAAGACCATTCGAAAAGAGGGAAAGTTTCAACGGGACGGCGATATTGATCGAATCAAAGTTCAACTGTGAGTAAACTATCGGAGAAAGTTTTAGTTGCTCTGAGGATCTGGGCAAGATGGACGAAGAAAGCATTCGGTGGTTAAATAAGCTGTTTTGGCTGTCAATCTATTGGTAAACTTTGGTCTCCCATTCGTCCTCCGTAGCGGAAATAATCTATCTTCTCTATTACATTATATGATATATGTATTAACAAGTATTACAGAATACTTATATATCTTAGATTTACGTCATGTTATTTGGAATGAAAGCAATTTTAATATATTCGGCGTTTCGACCAAACTCGAAGCTCCTCAATATACATATATTGTAATTGCTGTTGTACCAAATAATAAATAATAAGTATCGATAAAATCACAGACGAGGTATACGAGTAGATCTTTCACCTTATGGACTGTCGTGGCCCAATCTGACTGCCATACAGACCTGATTTTAGCGTCCTCTTCTCATAGACGTGTAGTGTGTTTTTCGGCGAAATTAAAAAATTTCAAATCGTTCTGGAAAAATTATTTTCGATTGCAGGGGTCAATTACAATCATTTTTGGTCAATAGGCACACCCTCGAAATCCTACGCAGTTTCGAGGAAAAAAATCCTTACCGAAAATGTAATGTCTGACCATACCGTTGATATGTTTCACTGCATGCGAATCTTTAAAACGTCATAACTTCTGAACGGATTGAAGGATTTTAACGTTTAAAAAAGCAAACAACGCGTATTTTAATGGAGAATATGTGGAAATTCCAAAAATATTCGAAAAGTTGTTCCGTCACCCCGTAAAGTGAGAAAAACCCCGTAAAGGTAGTCCAATCTTCAAACAGCCATAACTCCTACAATAGTGAATATATTTCAATGAAACTTTTTGTAAAAGTAGAGCTCATGTGTACCTACAAAAAAGTATTAAACAACTTTTCTATAGGGCGTCAAACAAAATTACTAAAAATCAAAAACGAATTTTTAAGAAAAATCGACAGGGGTAGGTGCCTAAATTTTTCGGCGAAATAAACAAATTTTGAATCGTTCTGGAAAAATTATTTTCGGTTGCGGGGCTCAATTGCAATCATTTTTGGTGAATAGACATACCCCCGAAATCCTACGCATTTTCGAGAAAAAAATTCCTAATCGAAAATATAATGTATGTGCCGAAAAAATGCATTGGATCTCTTTGTCAGGATAATTGATGGGTAGACGATCACACTACTTAAATATTTGCTTTTATAAAAGTCCAAAATCAATGTATTTAAATCGAATGGTGCGTACAATATTTAACAAGTAGAAAGGCATATGAAAAATTTGACAAAATTGTATTTGGACCCCCTAAATGCTGCTTGAGTTAATTAACTAGTTAACAGGTTGGCTGGCAACATGTTAATTGCTACGTAGTCTCCAATTCTTGATTTATACTCCACTGTTCTGTTTGATCCAGGAGCTGAGGTTAGCCACGTTCGAGTAAACACCTGGGTATTTGGGTTGGGCACATCCGTAACCCCATGACACAATACCGTAGAGGGTTCCTTTGGACGTCAGAGGACCACCGGAGTCTCCTTGGCAAGAGTCTTTTCCACCGGCGGTGTAACCGGCGCAGATCATTCTGCTAGTGATGCTGTTTTTGGTTCCGTAAGCGGTCTGACATTGATTTCTGTCCACGATGGGGATCGACACTTTCATCAATTGGGTTGAAACACTTCCGCCCTCCTACAACGTTCGAAACTGTTATTTTCGTTTCGCTGCTTTTAAATCTTCTCAGTTTTTGTTCTCATTCGGACGATAAACTCTATATCGATGTATCGATGAACGCCACCAGGATAAAACTAACGTTGAACAGCTTCCTTACGTTCAAGAAATTTCCTCGCGTGCAAAATATACCCGAAACGCATCGATATAAATCGTTGTTGATATTTTTTTACTTCTGTCGCGTCTAGAACATAAAATAATTGAGCAATTTACCTTGAGTGCTCCCCAACCGGTGACGTCAACCAAGCTTCCGGAAGAAGGTTCCGTCGTAGCCAACTTCACTGCTTTCACATTGCCGTTGAATTTGATTTCGCCATTGATCTGCAATAGAGTTTCCATTGCATTACGCCTGCGTTGCTATAGCAAGGAATTAATCCTCGCAGCGCTAATACGGTCCGAACGAAATCAACTGGCCACTTAAGAATATTGAGTGGCTACCACCCGTACCGTACCGCTGTACCTCGAATAACCGCGACGCGTAATCCGGAAACTGGCTCCGAAGAGTCAGTCGACTCTATCGCTAAATTGACAGTTTATTGTTCAAGACAATTATAATAATACCAAATGGTTCCCGTTGGAATGATATTTCAATCGTCTGTTTGTCAAAAAGATAATAGCTACAATTAACATCTGGTACACGTGTGTGTACCAAAATGGTTCGAATGGTATACTATCGAATTTCACGTACGTACCTCCAAAAGCGCGACATCAAAGTCGACAGTCCTTGAGTTGTACTCGGGGTGTCGGATGATCCTCTTTATCGTGTAACGAGTACCTTGGTCTTTGTTGCTGCTACCAACACGGATGCTGTATCGGTCGGCGCTCATTCTGTGATGCACGGAACATGAAAATGTCAGTGACTCCGTATTATAATTTGTACGCGTCGCGTGTAAACGGCCCGCGAACGCCAACGAATATAATAGCTGTTTGCTTTCGAGAATTTGCGCAGGGTATTTGACAACCTTACTGTTATTGCATAATGGCAGCCGATCGGGACGGAACGCGACCCGCAAAGCCGATTTAATATCGCGATGGCTAAATATTATCTTGATCAGCCGTCGGACGTACCGTTGCGCGAAAACGTTAGGGATGATCCGTATGACGGCTTCATTATATTATATCTATTCGCGTAATCGAATCACCGAATCGTTACAGTTCGAATGGCCGATGATTTTTAGCGGTGGCATACTATCGAAATTCTTCCATTCAACTAAAATATGACGAGCACGTTAAAGACCAAATTTATCGGCTCGAAGACTACGAACTATAACTAGCACTACCAATTAGCAATTAAATCGTATCGTGTCCCGCCGTTATATTAACGTTCGATAAAATTGAAACTGCAACGTTTTGGTCGAAAAGTCCTGCATACGCGAGCCAGATTGCCCCGAAGCACTTATGTCTGCTTAGTGCACATAGTGCTGTTAACTTTATCCATTTGCGTTATTACCCTACGCAATGGGCGGCTGTGACGGCCCATTTACTGCTGATGATCGAGCCACCGCAAATATGTCCACTAGTTTGTAGGCTTAGTTGATACGGATGTTGATTTATGTCAACGGGGCTGCCGCCTACAATTCTCGAGTCAAGGAGCAGATGCTGACCGATCTGGATGTCCTGGTTGTCCGGCATCTCGTTGGCTGTAACATTATACCGAAAACAGTAAGATTTCTTCCCGTTTCACATCAAAATTTACAACTAAAAAATCATTAAGTAATATTATTTTAAACAAAATCAACGAGCACTCTCTTGGATTACATTCTATGTGTCTACAGAATCGAAAATGTTGCCGATAAAACAGTAGCCGAGCGTTTGCAGATGCGGAATACCGATTCGATAACCATATTCGCGAACGTTTACTTTATATTCTTTTCTATCTGCTAATAATCGGACAAAAAATTGCCAATTCACGATTTTCAATATACCGTTGTATAATCAAATTAAGGAACGGAGCCAGCTTTGGGTTCCGTTTACGTGTACTCACCTAAACAGCCAACGAGGAGGGCGCACAATACAAGTGCGCAATACATATTGTCACAGAAATGTTCCACTTCCAATTGATCTCTAAGTTGTACTCTTTCTGTACGTTTCTTCCCGGCTTTTATATGGAAAGCTTGTTCTTCTGATTCAGCGCGAAATCCTTATCTGACGATAATGCACCGTGCTTTGCACGAGTGGCACGTGGTGCAAGCATTCGTAATATCGTAGTTAGAGGAGGCGCGGTATGAGACGAGATAGAGGCTCGCGTAGGAAAAAGTATAGCCGCGCTTCTTCCCAAGTATGATTGGAACAATATCGTCAGATAAAAATCACGCGATTGCAAGCTATTGGACCGATAGGATTTTGGATAAACGTGCACTTTGTTCGATAAGAATCTTTCGATGACGTTGTTCGTCTCGTTGCACTTTCCGGTCGCGAAGGAGGCCAGTCTTGCAACAGACATTTCGGAACCTTCTATAAATATTTACTGTTTTTAATTTTATTTTATTTCAATTCGTACGGTTGGAGAATTAACGTCACGATTATAGCCAATCCAATGAACAATGTCGTTGATTTTTAATTTATACATATAAGAAAAGCAGTAGTGTTTCGAAATATTACGTTATGACTCAGATTTCGAATACAATAATGAAATTACGATGCAGTATTTCACGTAGTTGTGTCTGACAATGAGATAAGGGGAGTGAAAGCAACAAGGAAACGTTGATCAACATCTGGGGTTTTCTGATTAAAAATCGCAATAATCGGCAAAAAATGAATCAGAGATAGAAAGATTCAGACTGCAGTGGAAAGAGTTTCGTAGGGCGTCGACACTACGTGGTACACGTTCGCGTTTAATTAAATTTATGCGAACCGATCGTGTAACTAGCTCTGTTCTTCATCGTTAATTTCTATCCTAAAATCGTAGAAATCTATACAAAATAAAAGAAGGGGGAAGGTTTGTTCGGAAGACGACATAATTTCATGGCTTTTTTTTCGCTTTATCGAATGGCATCGATTTAACTAAATTTACAGTTTAGACTGTAACTGGTCACGCGTTGTTCGCACGCTACATTATTAGCAACTAGGGACCACTCGTGCGTTCGCAATCGGTCGTTAGAATTTCAGAGCTAATTGCTCGCGTTGATTTACACATTTTGTCAGTAAATATGTGGATTTCTCGCGATCGTCCCCTGTCGCGGTAAAATGGAAACGCTTTGCAACAGGCATTAGTTTGCGACAGTTCCAAAGGTCAATACCGTAATCTGTACACCGAGTTTTGTTCGGTGTCTAGAAATTTCTGTCGGAATTAGTCACGCTTTGTATCAATCGCATTCATCTGATCTGCAATCTGCAATTTGCAGCTAAAAGAAACAAACATATCGAGGAAGTGAATCATTCGTACGGAGGTGTTACACATTTCCTTTATCCAAAATTTTTTCACTCGACCGTACATTAGATAAACTTGTTATTTTAATTCCCTATTTTCCTAAGATCCACCTTTTCTTCGTTAGTTTTTTATCCCACTCGTCGTCTACCATGGGTCCTATCCATTTCGATCTACAAAATTTAATTACCCCAGTTTACTCTAGAACGCTCTATTCCTTATTCTTATTCCGAAGAGTGTACTTTATGCGCGATTATCGCATTTTTCAACCACAAACAGCTATCGATGAGAATAATACATTATACCTTTTAAATCCCTCAAAGTAATTACTTATCGATTTATCACTGATAAATCTTTCCAATTCCATTTGGATTTTTCTTTCGTTAATCGTAGTCAATATCAGATTATCAGTGATTTGTATTCCCATCGTGTGATTTATTGAATGAAAAAGCCACTTTATTAAAAGTCCAATTTTATTTTCATTTCAACTGAAAAACTTTGTATGTGATCGTCAACAGCTCTCGATGATATTACTGTATCGTATCATTATAATCCTCAAACTGTCAATCACAGATCCAATATACCATAGATACCTTTAATAAAAGTAATTTAGTAGAGTTTTAATTGATCTTTTCCACGTATAAATATCATCATGAAAGATAGATAAAAAGAAAATCAATTACTTAACTGTTTAATTTCTCGATAAAACTATCATGATCGTACGAGTTGTTTCAATGTTGAAACGAAACGATATAGCCGTGATTTTTACTGCGTAGAAACGTTTCGAAAACAAGCAGTATATTTGCATAATAGCGTTTCGAACGATATTTCGGGATCATTGACACGATTGTCCTATACTTGGCAAAAATCGCCCAAATGTTCCTTTCGTTGCATTTATCGCAGTCGTCGGTAGTCATCGAAGATTTATCATACGCGTTTATCTCGCAAAAATTCGATCGATCGATAAGCGAAAAGTCCGCTGGGATATTTAGGACAGTATCTGGTAGATAAGGTTTCTTTTCCAAGTGCATCGGTGATTAGAACGAACGGTATCGCGGTAATCTTTGCTCTCGGAAGGAAAATCGTTTTCGCGAAGAACGTCGCGTTCGAATTCCACTCGTTGGTCGACTAATTTCCTTCGTTTGACGTTTCGTGCCAGGAAAACTTTTAATCCGCGACCCGGCCTGAAGAGGAATAGCCGAAAACGATGGCTCGGAGAAATCGCGCGAGTTTTCATAGTTTCGGTAACGGGAATTCCATCGACATTGCCAGTTCATTGCTAAGTAATTAGTTTTCGATGGAGTCGGCCTTTCAGACGGGCCGAGTCGGCCCGGGCGCTCTGATTTTTTCCTTACCACGACCTCTATTCCACGGGATCGTTTCTAATAGAAATTCTTTCAGCAATTATCCAACGAGAAGCGGATCAAAAGCTGAATTTACGAACGGCTAGACTGCTTAAGCCTTATGGAAACGTTCCAAAGAGGCGCGTCGTTTGATCTCTCAAAGTTTGTCCGTAGAATCATCTGTTTAAGCGAGATTGATACCTTGATTTCGATACTATACGGTGGACGATTCCAAATATTTTTAGGGTAACAGAAACACGTTTTCTCGAGTTGGCAACTTACGACGCCGAATAACCAGAAAATCTTTACGGGTCGAATGTTTCGTAATACCTACCAATATCGTCCCAGGACGCAGCGGTGTCTACTTATACGCCATATTTCGTGGATTGTTACGACGAAGCGAAAGAGTACGACGGCAGGCTGTGCAGTTGCCGACATAGGCCGCGGCTGCTGACTGCCGATTAACATATAAATCAAATCTCCGCTGGCGAACTGTCTCCCTCAACCCCCCGGTCGTTCTCCAACCGTCACGCTACAGGGTATCTCAAAAGTTACCGTGGTCCGAGATGCACGGCAGGCTCGAGCAGTGCTTTGTCTAATCATTCTTAGCTCGTCTCGCTGATCATGGAATTAAAGAAGCCTGGTACTTGCACATAGTTCTAACCTGATTCGATGGAACTATTGCATATAATTATAGTTTGTAAGTTGAGAAACTCTTGATCGTGTTGGGAGTCTCGAAAGTCTATAGATGGTAAAACTTTCGTCCTCGTTAAGAACTCGAAACACGTATCGATAGAAGCGAGAACTCGAAAGACTCGATATCTTGTTCGAATGCGTGGCGCGGTGGAAACCATCGGAGCTGTCAGGAACGAAGGACTATCGCGCCGAGTTTCGTACAACTTGACGCGCCAAGAACGAAAATCTTGGAAGATTTGTAAAAGTTGGTGCCTCGAACTACGATTTAGTTTACCACGGGCGTCGTCGAGCGATTTGATTTTTCGAAAGTACGCCGGGCATTCCGAAGGGCCAAGAATCGTCAGCCGTCAGTCGTCCTGTGCGCTTGGTACGTCCGAGAATCGAAACGACAGCTAATTTAAACCCTTCTCGAACATCGACAACTATCCGCGTCCTTTACGGCGTGGTAAACCACGTTCGTGCCAAGACTTTTTCGACGGTACGACTTTTCGAAGGGATTAAACGATCACTCAAAGTGATAGTTTATCTTTAGAACGTTACTTGTTTCGAATTCACTAAATAAACTTGATGAGGAGATTAAACGGTTGGTTTTTCGCCACGACTCGAGAACGAGTTTAGTATCGGCGCTCGATGACGCGTCGTGATCGTCGCAGGGCACGCGAGAGCAGGAGGATCGCGACGTCGGATGGCATCTGTAGAATTTTCCAATACCTCGAAGCGAGATCTCCTCGACAAAGGGATTGCCGGTGCAATTCGAACGGAAGGAAGGGAACGCTCTCGCTGGCGGTTCGTTTCGTTTTCGAGGCATGATGTGTGATCGAGGTGGGATCGAGCCTGGTCGTGGTAAGTCTGCCGTGAAAGGACTAACGAGTGTCTCCCATCCTGAGAGAATTCTTCGACCAGCCGGTCCGAGCCGCTACTTTCTCCGTCCGTTCCTTCCTCTTTCCGTTTTCATACTCCTTGTATCTGTCCCTTGCGTCCTCCGCTTCCTGTTTCTCCAACCCCTCGCAAAGCGTCTCGTTTTCTCGGTTGCTCGGTTCATCGTCCCTTCTCGCGCTCCGTTCTTCGTTATCTTTGATCCTCTGCTCCTTCCGACCTATTTTCATTTATCCAACAACTCGTTCCACTACTCGCCCATGTCCAAGGTTTCGAGCGTGATTACTGCCACGCCGCGCTCTATGCCATTTTCACGACCCCGACGACTGCAATTTATCGGTATCGCGAATCTTGATCCAGTCTTTACACGATGTTCCAGTAGTTACGCCGCAATCGGGCATTTAGCGATTCCATGGAACAAAAATTTGTTCCTATAGATATTCTATTGCACGCGTAGCCTATGGATTTTTTTTAACTCGCTTACGAATACAATTTTTTGTATATTTTCCATTTACTTTCGCCTGGAATGACACCGCGATCACTGGGACACTCTGTATAGTAGCCCATCTACGGGAAACTCCCTTGACGTATCCGTTCTTTCGTAAACACCGGCGCAGCTGCAGCCATGGGAAACATGAGACACACCGGAGATACATAATTGGCTTCCAGGATTGTGCCGAAGCCCTTGAAGGTGCGAGGATTACCATGGACCTGATTGCGCCAGAGCTTTGTGCCGCAATTTGGATTTTCCTCTTCCGTTGGGTACTCCTTGATTCTGCGAGGCTGCGCGATACTTTTCAAGCATACTTTCTTCCTTATTAAACTGTCCAATAAATTGAATAATCGATCGATAGATGAAA